TTACTATTATTTTATTTTTCACAGTTGTCGTGCCTATAATGCTCCTTTCTATATTGGAATGCTTACTCCATTCATCATCATTTACATATTCAACTGGATCATATTCACTATCATAATACTATCACTGACTCATAAGAGTCTGAAGTCTAATCTGAAGGATACAAAATCAAAGACAAAAGACAAGAGCCCAAGAGCACTCATAAAGCAACAGTTCATCATAGCTATAACACTATCAGTGTTATTTGGGCTGGGATGGGGCATTGGTCTACTAGCAACTGAAGATATATACAGCAATAAAATTGCTCGAGATGTTTTTGCTTCTCTTTTTGTGGTGGCGACAGCATTTCATGGCCTCTTTATATTCCTGATGCATTGCCTACGTTCAAAGGATGCTCAACATGTATGGAAGAAATGGTTTGTTAGAGTGACTGGAAGAGAACTTAGTGATTTGACTACATCTACTTTCAGTCGTGGAACTAAGCGCAAACGTGTCATTGAGTCTCATGCCAGAAAGATATCTAACAGTAATTACAGCAGTAGTTACTCGGCACCAATATCAGAGAAAAAGGGCAGCATTAGCATTAAAGAATATGATCTAAAAACATTTAAAAACGAGGACGACATACAAAAGGGTGATCTGATAAAAGAAGAGGATGAAAGCAATATCCCTGAAGAAAATAAAAAGGAAGACATGGCCCATCAAGATGATACTACCATTACAGTTGAAGTGGAAGTGACTGTCAGTAACACTGACCCTGAGGCTACTAAATGTGATCCCGTTGTGAGTGAGACAACATTCACTAAACCTGACGACAATAAAATGGAAGGTCCTGAAGCTCCTGAGCTATGCGTAAAAGATGAACAGAAAGTCATACAGCAGGAAAATGAAGATAATACTATTACAACAGAGATCACAGTTGAGCCTGAAGCAGGTACTGCTGCCACCAATGTTGCTGTTACTGTGAGAGAGAAGAAATTTACTGCTTCATTTCCTGAAGATGATGATGATAAATACGAGAAAGAGAGGCTCCGCCAAGAAGAAGAAAGGGCTTACAATGCTTATCATAAAAAAGAATAACTATACATGTAGTACATGCAAACAAGAGTTTTTAGATTAGAAAAACTTCATAGCAGATATTAGAGAACTTTATTTTTAGTATATCAATGATTAATTCTAGTTTCTAAAACCTCTACATGTAGTTCTATTAAGATTAACTTACATGCAATAGCAATAATACATTTTTAATGTAATTGAGCTCAAGAGATGTTGGGAGAACCACTTACCGTATTTGCTCGATTAAACGCCCGGTCGTTTATTTCTTAACAGGAAAAAAATCAGGCATAGATGTAATACACGGGTACGGAACAGGATGGATTAGAAACAGGATCACATGAGCGCATTATCCATTGAAACACTCCTAGTCCTAGCAAGAGTAGATAATGACTGCATTATCTTATTAGTTAATTAACTGCTATTATTAAATGAGTAGTAATTTTTAATAGTTAATTGACCATTATTAATAGTTAATTAAACTAACTAATGGTTAGTTAACTTTAATAACATGGTGGATACTATTTATTAATGTTATATGATCAAAAAATCCAAAAAAAAAATCCAAAAAATCCAACAAGAATCCAAAAAAATCCAAAAATCCAGTCAAAATTTGAGTGGATTTTAAATCTGGTACACTTTTGGAGGCCGTTTCGGACCCCTCGGTACTGACGCCATTGAAATATGGCCTTTGGTTTCGACATGCCGTAACTTTCTAAAACTTCTGTTTAAGCAATAATAAATGTCTTAATGCACTAAAGATCCTCAGAGAGTAGCCATAAAAGCTATACTAGTGCGTCTCGCCATCTCCTGAAGTTTCTAGAGTCCCACAAACTTTTTGAAAAGGGACAGTCGGGGGCCTGCGCAATAGTTGAGCAGCTGCCCGGGGCTCCGATATAACTAGGAGTGTTTCAATGGATAATGCGCTCACGTGATCCTGTTTCTAATCCTGTTCTGTGTATTATATCTATGAATCAGGTAAAAAAACAAAAAGGCCTCTAAAGGATTCGAACCCGAGACCTTCAAGCATTCCAAATTGTATTCCAACAGTTAGGCTATCTAGCACAATCTAAATCCTATGGCACATATACTGGTTAAAATATCCGTATCTATAGTTAGAAAATATTTGGCATGGGCGTTTATTTGAGAAGGGCGTTTATTCGAGCAAATACGGTACTTACATAGTTAAACCATCCACTTACTTAATTAAATTAATACTGCAAGGGAGTGTAAGAAGTTTACACAATTACACAAATGCCATGCCAACTATGCGTGACAACAGGACTATATTTAATTAGGACAAATTCTACAACTCCCACTATAAGACAAATTTCAGAGTAAAGACATGACAGCTAGGTCAGCACTGCTTTTTAAACTGCTGAGTTTGGCAACAGCTCTTTCTTTTTCAAGTAATTGTGTATCTGGACTATTATTTCAATATTAACATTTTGTTTTTTAGCTGCTGCACAACTCTCATTTATTAATGAGCCTGTTTACAATATACTGAGTGATATAGATGATGGTTGTGTTGATGTGGATTTACCAGGACCACTTCACTTCGGTTGCTCAACCTTTAACAGGGCCTTTGTAAGTGTAAACAACTCAATATAACTTTACATTGATTTCAATAGCTTAGCAGCAATGGCCTAGTCAGCTTTGGTGGAGAATTTTCCTCTTATTATCCAGTGCCTTTCCCTCTACATACTAATAAAGCCATTCTGGCTCCATATTGGGATGATATAATATTGTCACAAAAGAGAGAGCTCCGTTATCAAATATTTAATAGCACTTCTTATCACACAATTGAGGTCAATAACTTCCTTACAAATTATTATGAGAAGAATTTTGCAGCTGATTGGATACTGTGGGCTTATTGGTGTCATGTATGCCCCTACCCTAACAAGGATTGTGCATTACATAACGTGTAAATATTGCCATAAT